CCTCCTGCATGCCCCCTACTGTGGATGGAGCCCGCAATCTGGGCATGTGCCCTTGACCAGAATCGACTCAGGACCCTTCAGTCTGCAGGCTGATGCTCTATCTTCTAGCCTCTGAGCCAAACCGGCCAGGGCTAACCTCTCAGCTTTTAAACACCCTCAAAACAAAGGTCCCAGCAACCCTCTCCCTACCAGGAACATGCCAAGCCTTTCCTTCCCCATAGGCATGCATCTCCTGCACTCTAAGGGGTCCCATGAGGCCTGCAACCAGTGAGCAATGGGGAGAGACAGCTCATTCCAGGCTAACCCTGAACCTGTCCCCACCATCCCCTTTTCTCTGACTCTCTCCTGTTGTTTCTTCTACTCTAAGCTCTTACTTGTTTCATTGTCCCCAGCTTTAATAAATGTCTTCTAAAAATCACCTGGACCCATATTGTGCAATTTTTCCTGCATGAAATCACCCTACCAGCTGGCCCTAGGCAGACAGGCTCAGGGCCAAGTCCCCTTTACAATAAAATCTTGATGCTAGATTTCTAGCCTCCAAAACTGTGAGACAATGAATTCTACTGTTTAAGCCACTGAGGTTGGGGTACTTTTGATATTATTATTGTTGTTGTTGTTGTTATTGATTTCAGAGGAAGGAAAAAAAAGAGATAGATAAAAACATCAATGATGAGAGAGAATCATTGATTGGCTGCCTCCTCCATGACCCCTACTGGGGATCATGCCCCCACACTGGGGATGAAGCCAGCAACCCAGGCACGTGCCCTTGACTGGAATTGAAACTGGGACCCTTCAGCCCGCAGGCCGATGCTCTACCCATTGAGCAAACTAGCTAGGGTGGGAGTTGTGGTACTTTGTTCCAACAGACCTAAGAAACTAATTCAAAGATGTATTCTGGGATTTTTCACTTTCTTCTGTCATAACTGGGTTCTGCTCACCTAGAAGTTGGGGAACCAGGAAGGAATACATTCATGAGGGGACCTAAAATATTTCCTACTGAATTAGAAGCTGAGCCTGGTTTATAGCCAGTTAAAGTTCCTTACTCTCATTGAAAAAAAAGAAAGAAAGAAAGAAAGAAAGAAAAAAAGAAAGAAAGAAAGAAAGAAAGAAAGAAAGAAAGAAAGAAAGAAAGAAAGAAAGAAAGAAAGAAAGAAGAAAAGAGGATTATTCTGGAGTGACAATAATTGGAGTGCTGTTGCCACATATAAATCAGGGTTAGGAGTGTTACTGCTCCAGGATAACTATAGTAAACAGTAGAAATTCTAAAAGAAGCAATGGATATAGCAATCCACGGGTAGGAACAACAGGGCTCAGATTCTTTCTGAAGGGTGTGGATAATTCAGCTCATGGAGCAGACAAAAACCCAAGCAAGACAAACTCCCTGAGAGGAAGAGAGAGATGAATTGAGTAGTGAAGGATGCAGTCCCTCTTAAGTACCAATTCAAGCTTATAACCAAGAGAGACAGGCAAGCCCTAAAGCGAGTACCTGTATTCTTTGTTATTATTACATTTTGGCATATAATATGTGTTGGTACACTACAATGTATCATTTTGCCCATAAGGCATACCACATTGACAGGGGATGGTGACAGAACTAGAGGAGGCACGGACATCATCCAAGGATACTTTAGTAGGAAATGGTAGCATGAGCCTTCCCCTCTGGTTATAATGACCAAAACCAATTAAAGAGGAGGTACTTTCTGTTATACATTACTTACGTACACAATATTATAAATATGTGCAAATATTTGAAATACTTTCAGGTGGTGTTAATAGAAAGGAGGTCGTATGTGTGTGTTGTACAGGGTACCATTAAAATGTGTAGACTTCTCTGGTTTCTGCTTCCGTCCCAGCATGTTGGGAGCTGTCCAGGCACTCTACCTAATTCTAGAGAGCTGTCAATCACAGGATTAAAGAAATAAGCTAAGCCAAAATGATGAGACTCTCTTGTCTAGGAATTTCAATCATCAGTAGAGACACACAAGTCTAGAAGGCAGTCAGAAGTGAGTTATATGGTGGCAGATTCTAATACAGTGAGTGTGGGAGTTCCCACTAAATGCCCCAGTCCCTGGCTTCCCTAAAACTGTCTACTCAGCATGCCGTCAGTAACCATCCAATAAATCCATTCAGCTTCTGTTTTCCTTCATTCCTTTTTCCTTTCTATTTCTTCTCTTTTCTTTCCCTGTTCCTTCCCCTTACATTTCCTTCCCTTCCCTTCCTTCCTTCCCCTCTCTTCCTCCCCTCTTCCCTCTGTTCATTCCTCCCTTATCATTGCTGTTACTTGTAGCTAAAGAATACTGATATATGTATTACCAGGCTTCTTATATTTTTTCTCATAATAGTTTGAAAATGTACATATGCATAAAGAACATCCTATATAATAAAAACCTAATATGCAAATCGACTGAACTGTGGAACGACCACCAGAGGGCAGATACGCAATGCAGGGGCTGCCCCCAGGTTGTCAGTGCGCTCCCAGAAGCCTGGCACACCGGTGGTGGTGAGAGCAGCAAGGCAGGCAGGCGGATCCCAGACTGTGAGAGGGCACAGGCCGGACTGAGGGACCCCCCCCCCCAAGCGCATAAATTTCATGCACTAGGTCTCTAGTTTACCTATAAAGAGGCTATTAAACTTAATGGACAGTAAAGGTCTATTATGAAAAGTAAAACAGTATTTTTTTTACATAGAATTAGTAGTAAGAGGATATGTTATACGGTGCTATTTCATACCAGAAAATTGCTTCTAAGTTTTCTAGCACCAATCCCAACCATAACCTAACCTTGATAAAATCTCTCCATCAGTGCAACATTTTGGACTCTGAAATAAAGGGGCTTTAAGTACAGACAAAGATGGATAAACAATGAAAGTAATAGTTGGTAAAGAGTAAAAAAGAGAAGGAAAATATGAGTCCGTAATGTCTAGGGTAGCCTGCATCCACCCAGAAGTGGAAGTCTCCACAGGGACAAATTAGCACTGCCAAAATGGGACATCCCCTTTCTGCTACTTCTCTTCTCCACAGCCCTTAAGCAGAAATGACAACATATGTAGACAGTATATTTTTTAAATCTCTCTCTCTGCCTATGGTCTAGAAATGTCTGGAAAGTCAGTTAACATATCTGAACAATTAATTTATTGTTAAGACAAAGAGGTTGAACTGGATGATTTCTTGCTCTCTCAAAACTGAACCTGGGATTTGATTATCTTTAAATATCAACTATATTTCTATGGACTAAACATGAATTTTAAATAAAATCTTTAGAGTTCTAATTCTATCTCAAATTTAAAATCTTAAAGAGTAAAACAATTCCATCTGTATCACAGTTTTCTCATCAGTAAACCAAGATAATTTTTAATCCAATTAAACTTTCAAAACAATTTTTTATGGATTTTTACAGAGAGAGGAAATGAGGGAGGGGCAAAGAGAGAAATATTGATTATTCCACTTTTTTATGCATTAGTTGATTGATTCATGTATATTCCCTGATCAGGATTGAACACACAACCTTGATGTATCTGGATGATGCTCTAATCAACGGAGCTACTTGCCCAGGGCAAACTATCGCATTTTTTTAAATTAAGAGATTATATGGTCTTTATATGTATCCTGTTAGAATTAATTTATCTATTCTAACAGTATCTATAGATAACACTTGTATTTCTCCATACATATGGTTTGAATGCCTGCGTACAATGTACACACACACACTCTTTTACTCTGCCTAAATTCAGTGAAAATATAACAATCTCTATAAAAAGAAAGGGCCTAGCAAATTCCTGTGATGACAAGCAGGAAGTGTGGCAAGTCCTTTTGCCTCTTTCTCTTCTCCAAAGCACTCATTAACAGGCGAATATCTGATTGTCCTAATGACCTACATAGGTTTAAGGAAGTGCCTATGGTCCCCATTCAGGCTTAATGATGATAGGGGTCTGAGTGTTGAAGTTCTGCTATTACAGCTCTTTAACACAAAATCAACAAATAAGGTTTTAGCCTCTAAATTAGAAAGTTAAAGCATCCCATTCATCACTAGCAGTAATAAAAACTAGTGGAATGTTAGTAAATTCCTCTTTAATTCTCCTGAAATTACTTCTTTGAAGTTTTTATGCAACCTAAAGGAGCTTTATGCAACCTAAAGGTTATTTCTGATTCATAGTTTATCTGTCCTGTGTCATTTCCTGAGAATAAAACAGTACAAGTAAGCATTTTTAATCAATGAACATGCTTAAAACTTTAGAAAGCAAGCGAGTTAACTGACAACTGAAATGTCCTAAATGCCTTAATACACCTCATTTATTTTTCAGAGAAAACGCAATGTTGTGCCTTGAGGCCAAGACTAGAAATACAAAGATGAAGACAAAACACTCATGCCATGACTTCAGATCAGTGGCACTCTCTGTCCAATATCCTCAGTACAAAGTGATCAAAGAAACACGATATTTAACAGTCCCCTTTGATTTCAAGGTCGGATACTGTGTGGCAACTGCCATGCAAAATTTAACTCAACCTAAAACAATTCGTTTGTCAATGTTGACATAAGCAAACCTAGCTCAAAGTCCAGAAACTGCAAAAGGGGGGTTAGGCTGCAGCAGGGGGTGACGGTAGGGGCGAGGCGCGGGTACAAAGGGAAGGCATGGGATGCCTTTTCCCCTACTTTTCCTGCTGGAATGTGCTCATCCCCGTCCTCTGACTGCGAACTTCAGCTCTTAGGGGCCAATGGACAGGCGTTCGACTCCTTGTTTAACTCCGTTACTCGGGTCCTTCCCTGGGTCTTCGGGGCAGCCACACGGGGTCCCCAGAGCAGGGCACACCCCGACCCTGCGCCCCCCCGCTCCCCACCCCCCAACACCTTTCCCACTGCCCGTCGGGTGCACGGCTGCTCCCACCAGCCGGGTGTCTGGACTGGGAAGTCCCCAGGAGGCGGCAGCCCTCGGAAGCAAACTCCCGCCGGGCGGGCAGCGCGGGCAGCGCGGGCAGGAGACGCCCGGGCGCGGGGGTTACTCACAGTTGGCCTCGGCGGCGGGCAGCACGAGGGCCAGGCCCGCCAGCAGCGCGGCTCCGAGGACTCTCATGGCCGGGCCGGGCGCGGACTGCGGCCGAGCCGGAGCCGGAGCCGGGGGCGGAGAGCCCGCCCGCCCCGGCCCCCGCGGGAGCGATAAGGCGGACATTTCCTGGAAGCGGGGAGCGGGGGCAGGGCCCGGGCGGGCTGAGGCTGGTAAACACCGAACCCGGGAGGGAGGCCGCTCCTGGCTCCCGGCCCGGGCGAGGCGAGTGGTTCCCGGCTCCCGACGGGGCCGCTGCCGGCGGGGAGGCAGCCGGAGTGCAGAGCTCCAGCGGCGACGGGGAGGCGGCAGGACTGGAGGACGGGGAGGACTGGAGGACTCAGGGGAAGGAGATCCCTGCTTGGAAGAGAAACAGAGAGAGAGAGACAACGGGGGTGAGGGCATGAACTGAAACCAAGCAGTGAGTGAAGCATCTCTAAGACTGGAGACAACAGAGATAACGGAAGCAAAGGGAATAGTTTTGATCATCCACATTTTCATTTTGTACCCCGCATGGATGGTTTAAAACAACTATGGAGGGATAATGATGTTTTGATGGGAAAAGAGCCATGTATCAAATGCCATCACCTTACTTAGAGAGCTCATTGTGTGTGTGTGTGTGTGTGTGTGTGTGTGTGTGTGTGTATATATATATATATATATATATATATATATATATATAGAGAGAGAGAGAGAGAGAGAGAGAGAGAGAGAGAGGGGGGGGGGGTATATATATAGCCTCTGCTTTGTGTGCTTTAGACATACAACTTTGAAATGTGTGTTATTTAATGTTTGAGGCTTCCTATGGAGCTAAACTTTCAGGATTTAAATCGAAATGCTCTGCCACTTATTAGTTATGTCACTTTAAGCAAATGGATTAACCTCTCCAAGCCTCAGTTGTATCAGCTGTAAAATGAGCATAATAGGGTTAATGTAAGTGTTCATGTCAGGATTTTTTTTTAACATTGATAACACCCTCACATCACACACACATAAAATACAGATAGGTCTTACTTGTCGAAAATTAAACAGATTTCCCAAAATGGATATAATACCTCACTGCTGAGTATGGCATCAATAAAATATGTAAGGTCTTCTAGCCCCCACTCTTGTGCAATCCAGTTCTCTCTAGAAATTTGTTCTTTGGGAAATTCAGAGTCAGCAAGAGAAGAATAACAAAAGTTGAGATAGCTACATAACATATAACTTCTTTCATCCTAATAACTGCCTTGAGGTTAAACAGCCAAGAGTGTTTTAAATTTATTCAGGATCTACTTAAAGTACATTCATTGCATTCAGTTGTTATGTATCACCAGCTTAAGTATTTCAACAATGTAGTTACATCCCTTGTAAATTGGTCATTATTTAAATGAAAGTTTTAAATTACTTGCAAACTATTTAATTTTCTGAGTCTTAGTATCAACTACATACTACCGTGTTTCTCGGAAAATAAGACATTCTCCAAAAATAAGACCTACTTACAGGTTTCCTTCTGAGTGAAATATAAGGCATCTCCCAAAAATAAGGCCACCCTAGGCTAAACATGAGAGATTTGGTCCACTGATTCTGAAAGAAATGGAGTCACAAGAAATTCAGGAATTGGATTGTTATGATGATGTTCCAGAAGATGATGACATGATTGTCATTGAATAAATGAGTAAATTCTTGATACTGTAAGATTCACAGTTGGGCCGAAACCCGTTAGGCTTAATGGATAGAATGTCGGCTTGGGAACTGAAGGGTCCTGGGTTCGATTCCAGTCAAGGGCATATACCTTGGTTGCGGGCACATCCCCAGGAGGGGGTGTGCAAGAGGCAGCTGATCGATGACTCTCTCTCATCGATGTTTCTAACTCTCTATCTCTCTCCCTTCCTCTCTGTACAAAACCAATAAAAAATATTAAAAAATAAATAAAATAAAGATTCACAGTTTGTCTGGTTTGTGTTGACAACTACCATACTACCATACCATATACAAATAATAAATTTCCTTTATTTTCATTTAACAATAAATGTGTACTGTATTCTTCTTCATGGAAAAATAAGACATCCCCTGAAAATAAGACCTAGCACATCTTTGGGAGCAAAAATTAATATAAGATACTGTCTTATTTTCGGGAAACAAGGTATATTAGTTTAGATTTTATTACATAGTACAACAAATCAAAATAGAGTAACTGAGATTCACTTGTAAATGATTCATGGATCTGTACATTGCTGTAAGAGACAGGGAAGAAAACTCTTTAAATATTGGGAGTACAGGTGTAAATTGGCTACTTCCTACCAATGCTGATAAGTATGAATGAGCATATCACCTCAGTGGGTTAATTGTTAAGTCTACCTTAATAATTTTTATTTTTAAAGATAAAATAAAATATTCAGTAAAAACAGAAATATTAAAAATCAAACAGGGATGGTCACTTTTACAAAGCAAAGCTAATCTCAAAGTAATGATAATGAAAAATGCCATTTAAGGTTATAGTAAATTAATAGCTTATGTACTCAATGGGTTATACATATCTATAGATGGAAATATGGGTACAAAATTTTGTGTAATTTAAATATGTTTTTTCCAAAAATGCCACATGATCCTCATTCACACAAACACAAATTAGTGGCAGGGCAGTCACTCTCATTTTCAGTTTTTTTATTTTAAGAAAAACAATTTTAAATATAATAATGTTATATGCAATAAACATTAATATATCAAGAAAAATGAATTTAAATACAATAATGTTACATGCAATAAACACCAATTATTCAAGAACAATAATCTTACATATAATAATATTACATGCAGTATACATTAATATTTCAAGAATAAAAGGATTTTAAGTATAATAATATTACCAAAACTGTACTAACATAGTATGATACCAAAAAAGTTATAGGAAATATTAAAAATCTGCAAATAACAGGATTACTTCTATTATATTCTAGAACTAGAGGCCCAGTGCATGAAATTGGTGTACTGGGGCAGGAGGGTGTCCCTCAGCCCAGCCCACACCCTCTCCAATCTGGGACCCCTCGGGGAATGTCTGACTAACCTGGCAGTCAGAGATCCTTCTCACAATCCAGGACTGCTGGCTCCCAACCGCTCCCCTGCTAGCCCGATCACCCCCAATTGCCCTCCCTGCTGACCTGGTCATTCCTAACTGCCCTTTCCTGCTGGCCTGATCACCCATAACTGCCATTCCCTGCCGACCATCTTGTGGTGGCCATCTCTTGACCACAAGGGGGAGGCCATCTTGTGTGAGGTCATGATGGTCAATTTGCATATTACCTCTTTATTACATAGAATATTTCCCTCCCTCTGGCTCTAGTTTTGTTCATCAGATTATGTCGTTCACTAGAAGCCTGATGCACGAAATTCATGCAAGGGTCTTGGCCCTCCCAGCCGCAGTGACTGCTTCGGCCCTCACAGCCCCAGCTTCATCCAAAAGATCATCTGGAAGGTCATTCAGCTGTCTGGTTTAATTAGTATATTACACTTTTATTATTATAGACTAGAGGCCTGGTGCATGAATTCGTACACTGGTGGGGTCCCTCTGAGTGGTCTTTAAGGATTGGGCCGAAACCTGCAGTTCAATGCCTCCTGCAGCACATACCTGCCACTCCTGTTCATCCCGGCCACACTGTGCCTGCCACGGGCTTGCACCCAATTAGTCCCAATTAGGAGAGGCTCACACTACCACAGCAGTGCTCACCAGCCATGAGCCTGCTTCTGGAGCCCTCCCAAAAGGAGTGACCTGCATGATCAGGCCGAAACCACCTCTCTGACATCCCCCAAAGAGTACCGGATTGTGAGAAGGCACAGGCCAGGCTGAGCGGCCCCACCAGTGCACAATCAGGCCAAGGAGGAACCAGAGGAGGGCTCCAGGGCATGTCCAGCCCATCTCACTTAGTCCTGATCTGCCAGACCCCAGAAGCAAGGTAACCTACCAGTCGGAGCATCTGCCCCCTGGTGGTCTATGCACATCATAGCAGCTGGTTGACCTCTCTGGCCCCTGGTGGTCAGTGCACATCATAGCGAGCAATTGAGCAGTCATAGCATATCATTCACATATTATGCTTTGATTAGTTTTTCAGTTGTTCTGCATTTCAGTTTATTTGCATATTACCCTTTTATTATATAGGATTATATTCCACAAATGAGTGAGAACATATGATATTTATCTTTCTCTGACTGACTTGTTTCCCTTAGCACGCTGCTTTTAAAGTCTATTTTGTCAGATATGAGTATTGCTACTCTAGCTTTTTTTTTTTTTTTCATTTGCATCGAAAATTTTTTCCCATCCCTTAACTTTCATCCTGTGTGTGTCTTTTGTTTTGAGGTGGTGGATCTCCTGTAGACAGCATATGGATGGGTCATGTTTTTGTATCCATTTAGCTACCCTATCCTTTTAATTGGAGCTTTTAATTCATTTACATTTATGCACTGGAGTGGGGGGTTCCTCAGCCAGGCCAGCCCCCTCTCACAGTCTGGTAGCCTTCAGGGGCGGGCGATCAGGGGAAGACAATGTCCCCATCACATCTCTGCTGCTGCCACTGCCAGCAGCACAAGCCTTGGCTTGTTACCTGAGCCTCGGGCAGCCCTGAGCAGCTGGGAAGCCGCCATCTGAGGCTTACTTGTGCCTCAGGCCAGCTGTAGAGCTGAGGGAGGGTCCAGCCACACCACACAGCTGCCACACACACACACCCCCAACCCCCAGCAGGACTGGAAGGACTGGGAGACTCTGGCTGGGGCTGAGGAAAAACTGGGTGCCTCCATCTTGTGGCTATGGGAACTGCCATATTTGTGACAGCATGATGGTCAATTTGCATATCACCTCTTTATTAGATAGGATATGTGTTTATAGCCATTTTAATTCTATATGGCTAGGTTTCTCTCTCTGTTTCTTCTTCTCAGCAATTCCTGGCTTACAGCAATCCCTTTAGCATTTCTTGTAGTGCTGGCTTGGTGGTGATGAACCCCTTTAGCCTTTTTCTTTGTCTGGGAAGCTCCTTATTTGACTATTTTGCATGCTAGCC